TGTTTTTTCTTAATATGAGTTTCTATACTTGTTTGTTTCTTCCAAAGGGAAAATAAAAGAAACTATTTAGGGAGGTCCTACCTTAACAAACAGAAAAACTAATACTGATTGAATATACATTTCTAAATAGGGTTCTAAATAGGGTTTTAGTTTTTAAACAAATATTGCGTGCAGGTTTATTTTCTTAAATTAAGAAAATTATATCTTAACTCTTAATACTTTAATAAATAAAACATCATTGAAAAGAATATAAATTTCTTCTTGTGCAGGACACAACAATCAAAACTGAATTGGAAATGGAAGCAGCGACTTCATCACTTGTTTCCTCTCGCTCTCCTGTTGCATAAATAATCTCGGGGGCATTCAACAGCCTGAAATCGGAGAAGTTGGCGGAGAATCTTGCATCGGATATCGGGTTGGTATACGCCGATCTCCGGCCAAATCTTGGAGGTGTGTCCCATTGTCCTAGCCGCGTTTCCGTGGCAGCCACGAATTTGAAACCTATCTGGATTCCACCGCTCGGCTCTCGGAAGATTTGATTTTGCACGTGCAGGTCTGGGAACCTTGGAACTCCAAGGACTCGGTTGTCAGAACCCGACAAAAGTTGCTCAACTTTCTGCCAGCATCTCCTCCCGACTTGCGCAATTTTTCCTAAGAGATATTCGAGCACTTTAATTTCATGTTTGGGATTGTTCGCATGATTTCTCAAGAGCAGATTGCTTATCTGTGTCCCTGCCTCTGATTCAATTTGTCTGCCGTGTAATTATTGCGCTTTTCCTAGCTGTTTGTCCTCTTTAGGGTCTAATAGTCCACTTCCTGCCCTCGGGGATTTTGGGGTTCCATTTGCACTTCAGTTTGACGTGATTTGCGAGTCGCTTCCTGTGGATCCTGTTCCCGGGAAAGGATATTCAGAGCTATCTTCTCTCCCCTGTCTGTTTGCACTTTTCAGTTTGGGTTTGACATGCTTTTTGCTTTATGAACTTTGCCGTCTCGCTCCGGCGGAAGTTGTCCTTGTCAAAGGATTCCATTTCCGCACTTTCTGGGTGCATTTGCATATTATGAGCGCCAAAAAAACATTCTGATTGTTTGTCTTCTTGGCGCCAAAACGGATAATTGCTGGTTGTCATAAATGGATTCGGTTACATTTTGGGAAAGAGTTGAGTCCCGCCAAAAAAATGATTTTCTTGTTATACATTTTAGTTTACGTTGATCGGAGTTTGCTGTAAACTACTTAATTTATTTTTAATTTTTTTGCTAATTCTTCCCATTGATTGTTTGAATTGGAATTCCTAATACTTTATTTGGTTTTGTTTTAATTGGGTTTTTATATTTGTTAACTTGTTGTTAGAACTTGAAAGGGTTAAATATTACTTAGAGTATACTATGAGAATCCTACAAGGCAAGGCAATAGTTTTTCCAAATTATTACATATAACTTAAATAAATATTTTTATGCAATTCAGTCGCACTGAAACACAATTTATTTCCACAGACATGTGTAAATTTAAACCAACATATTCGGTGTGCGACAAGCCATAAAACTGGAACAAAACACTCACCTAATGACATTTCGGGTCTTTCCCATCAAAAGTCTGGCGCGATTCATAATGACCATCGAGCAGGGTCGGGGTAACATTCGAGTATGTATAGTAATAACCATAGAAATAGGGTCGGTCATCCCTCAAAGAGTTTGCTGCTCAATGAATTCGTAGCGTCGGCGGCAACTTTTGGGCCATAAAATCGAACAGCGGGAATTTTCCACCTCCAGCATGCAAATGAAGTGAATTTCCCAACTATTTAACCCTTTCCTTTCGTTCGAAACTCGAGGTGCCATTAGCCGTGTGGCGTCTTAACCCTTTATTTCGCAGCCAAGCAATTTATAAAACGCAACGAAAGTGGCATAAAAATCGAAGCCAAGGAAAACGGTAGCTACCTGCATTCTTCGAAGACAAAAAGGTGCTAACTCGTCATTAAGACGAATAATCGCTACCTAGTCCTTAAAACCCTAAAAACCCTTTCGCTTTTGCTCCTCAACGAACTTTGCTAAAAAGTCGCAAATTTTCCGGGAATTTTTTATTCATTTTTTGTTCATTGACGACCTTGAATGGCCGGTGGGTTGGCGGTGGGTTGCTACCTGACTTAGGTATAATCTATGGGCTGCAATATTCTGACCTGCCGCTGACTGCTGTTTCAATTCTTGTGGTGGATTAAGCGCTAATCCCCCGGATTAGCGACTCGCCGGCGTCCCGAGTTCATTAAGTAAGGGAGCTCTACTTACTCTCAATGAAAGGGAAAGGGGAAATTACAACGTCGCTTGAACTTCCTAAAGTCGTATATTCCGAACTCGAACTAGGTGAATGACAATTTTTTTATTGCCTCAATCTCAATTTTATTATAAGTATTGAAATTGTGGATGGTGGTAATCAAAATACTTCATATTTTTTAAGTAAGCCATTACATCTTAAACAATACGATTAAGAAATCAACTCAAAAAAAATAATATAAAGAATTCCTAAAAAAAGAGAAAATAATATTGGTATTAACTATAATACAAAATAAAAGAAAAGACAAATATTTAGTTAGCTAGCCAATAACATGATCATGCAAACTAAAAGTACTGAAGTAAAACATTTGGTTTCTGGGACATTATCTTTAAAGTGCGGTCTTAAAAGGTTTTTTAGCTCTCACATTTTAGTTATATGCCTTATGAACTTGCAAATGATGAAAGTTCGTCAAAACGTGGGAAGATCTGACAGATGCAGCCTCCTCATCTGCATATTCATGAGTTCCCACAATTAAGTCTCCCCCAAGCACGTTCAATGAACGGTCAAGCAAATGTCAAAGAATTGATATGTCATCGTCATCTGGTTTAGTAGAGCATCCTCCCCCTGTGGAAGTCCAAATGGCTAATGATTGGAATAGCTGCACACGCAAGCGGATTCCCATGCAGCACACCTGAGTTCCAATCAACCACCCCCACACAAACAGCATCATCACGAGGGTTGACTAGTCCAATTAGAACATGCATTGCAACCCCCGGCGAGTGTTGATATCATGTCAAGCATTTTATTGATCAAGTTACGCATCCGTAATACGAATCGAAATATAATTGCTCTTTTCAAGTGTCTATCATATATCAAATGAGTTGCATTTGCATCTCCGCCCTTCTGCATTTGAGTTCTGCAAGGACGAGGACGAGAACGAGTACCGTTCCCACGTTCGAGGTCCTGGATCAGGATCATATGGCCTTAGGCGTTGGTGCGTAATCGCACCAGACTTACAGGATCTTGCTTAACATTATTAAGTACTCGGCTGATGTGAGGATCTTCGTACAATATCTTTCTTTTGAATTCGCTGATCCCGGAGAGAAAAGCTTGATCTAGCAGCATCCCGATCAGCGTGCCTTTTCCAGGCAGCACTCCTCTGAGCTGAAATCCGTAATCTGCTTAAGCGGCAAGCTTAGGTCGAGAAATTGGTGGGTCCTTTGGCAGGACTTGGCAGGACCGCGGGAGATTACAGGCACTGGCCACTTGAATCTCAAAGGCTCTCAGAAGGCAACCCCTGATCTAATCTGGCTTAGCAAAGGGAGGCTTCTATCTCTATCCGGCTTGCTCCCATTTTAAGTTAGACTTAAATTGTGCCATCCTCCTAATCGTTTGATTTCTAAATCAATTTTATCAGGAAAATTCACTTAGGCCAGTGAACCGATGAAAAGATTTTTAATAATTCATATTTCGCCTTTAGAATGGCATTAGTCATAGATATTCAAGTTGATGTGGAAAATATAAAATCAAATTAAACAAAAGTATTGTTATTTTTAATTAGTTGCTAGTTTAATAATATTTAAAATTTAACTATAAATTGCATTTTTGCTTGAAGATTGCTTAACCTATTATTCAAGCGTGAAAAGTTTACACTTAAATTGATAGGGTTAACCACAATTTGCGGAAGGCGTTTGTAACAAGTAATTAAGGTTAGGTTAGTCTAGGCAATAAAAACCAATTTAGATGAATATTCATATTCATCGGAAAAATAAACTATATTTGGATTTAAGGTTCATGGTTGGTAAATTGATACAAACAATTTGAAACGAAAAATCTATTTGTATATTGTATTGTATTGAAATGTTTATGAATATGATTTATCGGATTTATTTAAAATAGGCGATGTCGAATAAATATACATAGTAATTAATTGTTAAATATTTGAGTTAGGAAATGGAAAAGAACAATATAAAAATCTGGGCGATAAAAGTATTTGGAAATGTTTAGAAGTTACTGAAAGCTTAAAAACAATTTCTAATATTTGATTAATTAAGTCATTTTGATATCCATCAAATTCATTTAATTCGCCGTTCCCCTATAAGTTTCAAATGGTTGCATCATAAAAACCTAATTACTGAATGGAAAACAATCAATAGTGCGCATTCAACCCCTGCTGCAATCGCCACTCGAAAAGGACTCGCGTAGGAAAACTAGAAGCGAACCCACAGGTACTTCACACAAATCACAAAGCGGCAATAATGGCAGCGCCATAAAATACCGGCCATGGATATGGAGGGAGGGGATATGGATGGATGTCCCCGTCGCTGTCTTCATTAACAACTGTCGCAGGCGACCTCCACAGGCAGAGATTCTCTTCGGCGAGCGGAGGGTAGCAAAAGGACTCTATAGGAGAGAGCGAGCAGGTAGCGAGTCCTGCGGAAAAAGGCCATAAAAACCCAAAGAGTTGAGAATGAGCGACGGCTGCTGCGTTCCTTGCTCAATGAATTTTCGCAATGGCAGCCTGCCAAAGGATCGAAGGACTCTCCTCGCCCAGCAGAGTAAAAGAGAGGATGCGAGAGAGAGCAGAGCGTTAGAAGCAACCCTCACCCGAATTTCGACCAATGAACGCGGAGTTCCACTACCTAAGGGTGATCGACTGCTCGATGAATGGATTTTGCTGGCGAGGACTATTAAAACGCCGCCGGTCCTCACAGCAGACAACACAACCCATCGTGATCTCAGCGAGTCCACATCGGAGTAACAAGGATATATCGAATATATCAAAAATACCACAAACCGAACAAAATAACAAAAACCATATAACCCAAAAGACATTCGTGCTTAGTGCCAAGTGTCCGAAGTGAAAACCGAAATCTGTGCAAACACCCCAAAAGTTTTTAAAAAATCGCCAAAATTACGCCCCACATCGGTATGCAGTCGTCGGAGGGTTCACCAGACATGATGGATCAGAAGTACAACAGCGTGCGCCTTTCGCCAGCGGCATCAAGTAAGTATATCTGAAAACTCATATACAATTCAAATCAAAAAGGGAACCAATATTCCTGATTTGCAAAACCCAAAGAGACTCTTTACTTATACAAAATTTCCCCTCTTCTTTGATTTTCTAGGTCGCATTCTATACCATGTGCCCTGCAAAGTGTGCAGAGATCACAGTTCCGGCAAACACTACGGCATCTATGCCTGTGATGGCTGTGCTGGATTCTTCAAGAGGAGCATTCGCCGATCCCGCCAATATGTGTGCAAATCCCAGAAGCAGGGACTCTGCGTGGTGGACAAGACACATAGGAATCAGTGCCGTGCCTGCAGATTGAGGAAATGCTTCGAGGTGGGCATGAACAAGGATGCTGTGCAGCATGAGCGGGGCCCAAGGAACTCCACCCTGCGTCGCCATATGGCCATGTACAAGGATGCCATGATGGGTGCCGGTGAGATGCCCCAGATCCCCGCTGAAATCCTAATGAACACCGCTGCCCTAACTGGTTTCCCTGGAGTTCCGATGCCAATGCCCGGTCTGCCCCAGAGACCCCATCATCCGGGACATTTGGCCGGGTTCCAACCTCCTCCATCGGCTGCCGCTGTCTTGGATTTATCCGTGCCACGAGTGCCCCACCATCCGGTGCACCAGGGTCACCATGGTTTCTTCTCGCCCACCGCCGCCTACATGAATGCCCTGGCCACTCGGGCCCTGCCGCCGACTCCTCCTCTCATGGCAGCCGAACATATCAAGGAAACCGCCGCCGAGCATCTCTTCAAGAACGTCAACTGGATCAAGAGTGTGAGGGCCTTCACCGAGCTGCCCATGCCCGATCAGCTGCTTCTGCTGGAGGAGTCCTGGAAGGAGTTCTTCATCCTGGCCATGGCCCAGTACCTGATGCCCATGAACTTCGCCCAGCTGCTGTTTGTCTACGAGTCGGAGAATGCCAACCGTGAGATCATGGGCATGGTGACCCGTGAGGTGCACGCCTTCCAGGATGTCCTGAATCAATTGTGCCATTTGAACATCGATAGCACCGAGTACGAATGTTTGAGGGCCATCTCGTTGTTCCGCAAATCCCCGCCGGCAGCCAGTTCCACCGAGGATTTGGCCAACAGTTCGATACTGACCGGCAGTGGCAGTCCCAATTCGTCGGCTTCGGCGGAATCAAAGGGTCTGTTGGAGTCGGGAAAAGTGGCGGCCATGCATAATGATGCCAAGAGTGCGCTGCATAACTACATCCAGAGGACACATCCCGCCCAGCCGATGCGATTCCAAACTCTCTTGGGAGTTGTCCAACTGATGCACAAGGTCTCCAGCTTCACCATCGAGGAGCTGTTCTTCCGGAAGACCATCGGCGATATTACCATCGTGCGACTGATCTCCGATATGTACAGCCAGCGGAAGATCTGAAAAGCATGTAGCATATACACTAACAACGCCGCACTCGAAGTGCCTTCCAAGTGCTGGGAACTGTGATAATCTCGGAAGAAGCGCTTTGGACAATATTCAATCAGTGAGCGCTTACGCATCTCCAGGAGTCGAGCCTTAAAACAACATAAACAACACTCACCTTAAATACCTTAACCGAACTCAAACTAATATTAGGTTTAGTCTCTCAGACCATCCAGATGTGTTTCAAATTGCATTCGCAAAAGTTTCAACTTTGCCTGTTAAATACGTCAATCGTAGTTTAGTTAAAAACTCTTTAGTTATAAGTGCATATCATTAGCTTTAAGATTTGGAAAAAATTTATTCAAAATAAACCTAAAGGTTTTCAAAATGAACATATATTATTCTTCTTGGGGAGCGGGTTGAAGCTTGAATGAAATCATTTTTTTTCAGAACTTTAATTTGGATTATAAAATCAGCATTTTTGCTAAAAGAAACCAAAACATTAAAGTTTTGTTAAACGGACTTACGGTTTATGAACAATAGATCAATCAGATAAAATGTTTAAAATATTTAAGCAAGTTAATTTCTGAATCTTGTGAAAAAAACTTGCAATAATTTATTATTGGGTTAATATAGCCCACACATAAATAATTATGTCATTGTATAAAAATTTTAATAATACGTAACATATTTTCAAAGCAATATGTCTAGTTGAATTTGCGGTATCCTTTGTTTATTTGATTTTGTCTTTTAAAAAGTAAAAGAAAGAAACAACAAAGGTATCTTAATTATTTACCCAACCCAACCTCTGATAATTTTACAATTACCATTCGCAGCCGAAAGTGTTATGCCAAACATGGAATCATGAGATTACACACTGAATTATCATACTTTTTTATGGCCATTTCGTGATGCTTTTCGTATATTTCGAGACGTCAAAAGCAACCGCACAGGCAGCCCAGTTAATCACAAATGAATTATGCAAATACGGTAACAAAGAAATGTTAGATCGCATGAGGAATCGTGAAAAAATTAGCATAGTTTTTCCGCATGGGCAGACCAAAGTCGGGATTAATTTGGAAAACCTGGACGGATTGCAATGGCCGCCCCAGTTTTGATATCTACTCTTCTCTCCCCGCCCCGAATTCGAAAAGTTAAAAAGCAAAAATTCACTTTTGTGACTTTGTCGAGCGGTGTTGGATCGTTGGATTGCTGCCAGGGATTCGGGGATCGTTCTGCTCGAAGGACAATTGAATCCTTTCACAATGGCCAACCAACGTGCAGCCGGAGTGAAATGAGTTTTCACTGCGAAAGGCTGAACAAACAACTCTCGAGGAGAGCGGCACACACAGTTGCCAAATTGTTCGAATTGCGTTGGCCAAAGTAAACAGAGATGAGTATATTGCACTGACACACATCCGTGGCGATGAGGATGTGCAAAAACCTACCCTAACCGAGAAACTGAGAAACCGAGAGTCCAGAACCCAATTCCAATCCAACCACGGCGCATAGAACATCCTGCGGGGATTGGGATTGGGAATTAAGTATGCTTCGTTGGTGCTGCCATTTCGACTTTCGGCAAGGACCCTGTGTCCTGGGTTCCCTGGTTCACGTTCACTCGGATGCTGTTGAACCCGGGGTAACAAATTGTGATATTTCTATTTCCCTGCGCTGTTGAGCCCTTTTAAGTCCTAATGGCCCTTTATTATCTGCCTTTAGACTTTTAATAGACTCAGGCACCAGGACAGCAACATAGAGCAGCAGCACCCAGTCCTTTCCATTCTGCGGATGTGTGTTGGCCTAATCCTCATCATTCTGTCATCAGTGACGTTTTTCTGCACATTGTTGTTTGGCCATTGTTTGGGTCTTAATTTGCAGTTTTCTCTTGTAGTTTTTGCACTCTCGGTAAGGCAAAGGATTTTCACTTTTTGATTTCTATAATGTCTCCAAAAGAGGGACCATCTTTGAGACAACTTGGTCATCGGGTGTGATTCTTTAGGGGATTCGAATTATTAGTGACTGTTCTTGATAGAGCTTCATATAATTTGTATATTTAAAAGATTAAAAAACGAAAGCTAACTTCGTCAAGCCGAAATTTCAACACTCTTGCAGATTTTTAAAAGTAAAAAGAAATTGCGCGAATTTTGATTTGGAAAGTTTTAAGAGTCTACCTTTTTCCCTGCGCGAAATATCGTAACCGGGTTTGATCAAAACTCAAGGGGTAGGTTCTAAATTTATTTATTAAATTAGGTTTAATAAGACGTAGACGAGTAAAAGGCTCAGGATGGTCAGGATCAGGACTGTAGGCTTCATCTTGGGAGCTTATGTGAATGAATTGATGTAAACTTATTTCAGCTTTTTATACCTTTTTTGGTGTCTAATTGTTTTTGGTTCAATCTAATAACGAATCAATTTTAGACATTTTGGGCTACATTATTAACAATCATTTACTTGTGTAACAAATTATCGTCTTAAACAGTTGGGAAAGAATATTAAAGCGGACAGAATACCTTTCTTTTTACAAAGTCAGATACATCATTTGTTAGTCCCCAGTTTTAGCTTAGCTTAAGAAAAGAGTTTCTTTGGAATTAATCTGGATGTGCAAAAGAGTTGTTCCCTTCTTAGATTAGACTATTTATAATCCATCTCAAACTGGTAGCCGACTGGGACTAGGACTTGGACTATCTCGTGGACTAACTTGTGCGTCACTTGAACTGCTTTAAATCCGCGACCTTTGCCTGGTGAAAAGGGGGTGGGAACTGGCTCATCTGGGCGAAATCTCAAGTGGCTGCCGATCCCGAATTTCTGGGGAAATTCGAAACAAGTATCTAAGAAGCGGGTGGATTTTGGGTAACACGTTTAATTCATAGATTTTCGTCGATTAAGTAATCCCCGCGAAGGACTCAATGGAGGCGACCGCCGGCCGATTAGCGCAGATCGCGTCAGCGGGTTGTCCCGTTTTCGTACCCGAGGGCAGGTGTGTGTTAACAGGTTAGAGGTTTCGCAAGCTTAACCCACACAGGACCTCTCTCGCTCCCTCATTCTAGTTCCCTCGCACTTCATGATCCTTATCCAGGCGCAATTACCTAGCGAAACAAAAATATGAGTATGCAAATAGATTTTAATGGACAGGATTACCCTTTTGCTAAATGCCCAAATCCCGGCCGGGCGGTCTGCTCGAAAATCTCGCATCCTTTGTTTTCAAATGTAATGAGAATGTCTCTAAGCCAAAATATTAAACATCCGTTTGAGCCTGGTCAGCACATATACCTCGGTGTATATACGTATATATATTTTGCAAATCCGGCTTCCGATTGTCCTCGTTGTTGTACCTGAAGTCAGGACGTCTCTCTCGTCCTGCGGCAAGCAAAAGTCAAAGCGGCAACCCAGGAGCGGCGTTGTTTTTGTAAATTGAGTAGCTCGATTTATCGCCAGATCAATTTTCTATATCTGCCGCCGAGATAAGCGGGTATATAATTGTTTCTGTGGCTTATGCACTGCCAACTAAGCCTGCTTCTGGTCCTGGTTTTGGTCTGAGCCTTACTTAGTTCCCTTAAGTTCTGCTTAACTTACTTTAGTGGGCAAATGGCAAATTTTCGGCGAAAAATTCTACGGAATTCTTTGTATTTGCATACACATCCATGGCGGCATTGTCTTTTGACGCTTAGTCGCATTATTTGTCAGACAAACGGTCAAAAGAAAAAAGGGGCATTGCACTGAAGGAAATAATATTATTTGTACTATTTTTTACTACACAAGAAAAAAAGATATAAGATATGTTTGACGATCTTAATTTGTATTTTGAAACTAGCAATGAAATGAAATTTAAAAGAACTACTTAAAAATGTCTTTGTAACGTTCAACTTTTTCGTCTGAAACAGAAAATACAGTATCAAAAAAATGGAAGGCATTAAATTAACATTAAAATTAACATACAAAAAGTGGTTAACAATTTACTGTTTACTTTAAGCATTTGTATACTAATTTTTCTAACGAATAAAATAAAAATAAGATAAAATTTAACATTGTTATGTTTAATAAAAAAATATCAAGAAAAATAGTTTGACTTCCAAACCTCATTAGACAGACATCTTTAAATAAACCAGCTGCTTTTAAAAATGAAATGAGAGTACTTGGAAAACTGGCTGTCTTAGATCATCAGAACTGATCAATGCTATCCAAAGCGATTAGGACAAGGACATCGCGTTGCAGGATCATCGAAGCGTGGCCTCATCCAAGGTACTTTCTGCACTGGGCCCTCTATTGTATCTGCCCCTTTTTTATGCCCCTAAGTACTTGATGCCCGAGTCTAAGTCCCTGGAAATCTGTGCACATCCTTTTGATTGTTGCCATCTGAGGACGGGACAATAGCCGTGGTTTTTTGCGACGAGTGGACCTCCTGGAGGTGAGAAAAATATTAAGGGCAAATCCGCTGAGCCGCCGAGTCGTCGAACAATGTCCTCGAGGAATCTCGAGAGCAACTTGCGTTTAACCTCAAGAAAGTAGCAATTGCCCGCATTATTTCGATGATCGAAGGACTCCTTTGTTCCCGCAAGAGTGTTCACTGGAAATTTAGCTTACATCGTATATCGACATGGTAACAAGTGTTATACGATCTGCGACAGTTTTTTCTTTTTCAATCTGAGGGCCTCCAGTTCAAGGACTTGCAATCAAAAGCTGGACCACCGCGACTGCAGCGTCTTGTGTGTTCCTTGTAGGTTTTCAAATTAAATAGGGGTCGTGCTCTGAGAAACTTTTGCTGCAGCCGGAATTGTCGGAGGATCTGTCTCCTGTATTTCTTTTTCATCGGAAGTGGTGGAAGCTGCATCTGCGGATGGGTTTTCGCCTCCGGGGCGGAATCATTGCGCAGCCTGGTAATTGAATTTGTTGCCTTTTCATTTGATGTTTTCTTTGCATAACAAAGCAGACCGCTCGATGGCCTCCGGGTATTCGAAAAACGATTGCGTAGATAGTTTTATTTAATGGGGTTGTATCTTTCCGGGAAAAATGGCGGCCAACTGGCATTTAAAGGCGTTGCATATCATTTAATTAAGCTGTCGCACGAAGCCCTCCCACTCCCACTCCCACTTTCGCTGGTCGGAAAAGTTCGAAACTTTTCAACTTCCGGTCAAGAAAGCAGGTGGCCGGTCATCAGGTGCATCCCCGGAATGAAGCCATTACTACGGGGTCACGCGATGGCCAACGGTTAACGGTCCTGGGAACTTGGGAACTCTTCGGCCCCGAAGTTGACCAGCAGCGGCGAAAAGTGAAAAGCCGTCGCGTCATCCTCGGTGATGGGAGGCCATATGTCAT